ACAAAGAAATCAAAGTAATCATTTTAAAGAAACTGAATGAAACTCAAGAGAACACAGACAGACAACTAAACAAAATCAGGAAAACAATGCATGAACAAAATGAGTTTAATAAAGAAATAGAAACCATAGAAAAGAAACAAACAGAAATCCTGGAGCTGAAGAAACACAATGACAAAACTGAAAAATTCAATAGAGAGCTTCAACAGCAAACTTGATCATGCAGAAGAAAGAATCAGTGAACTTGATGACAGATCATTTGAAACTAATCAGTTAGAGGAACAAAAAGAAAAAAGAATGAAAAACATTGAAGAAAGCCTACGTGAAATACAGACACTATCAAGTGAATGAACATTTGCATTGTGGGAGTCCCAGAAAGGGAAGAGAGAGTAAAGGGCTGAAAAATTATAGAAAGAAATAATAGCTGGAAATTTCCCAAATCTTGGGAGAGATGTGGACATCCAGTTACAGGAAGCTCAAAGGACCTCAGGTGAAATCATCCCAAAGATTACTCTGAGACACATTGTAATTAAATGTTAAAAGCCAAAGCAAGGAGAGAATTTTGAAAGCAGCAAGAGAAAAATGGCTTGTCATAGATGAGGAAAATCCTATAAGACTATCAGTGGATTTCTCTGCAGAAACCTTACAGGCCAGGAGGGAGTGGGATGATATACTCAGTGTTAAGAGAAAAACTGGCAACTAAGAATACTATATATTTATGCCTTGAAGGTAAAACTGTCCTTCAGAAAGGGAGGAGAGATAAAGACATTTCCAGACAAACAAAACCTAAGGGAGTTCATCACCACTTGACCTGCCTTACAAGAAAAAATGCTAAAGGATGTTCTTCAAGTTGAAATGAAAGGACACTAAGTAACAACATGAAAACATATAAAACTCACTGGTAAAGGTAAATATATAGTCAAATTCAGAATACTCTAATAATGTGATAATGGTTTGTAAATCACTTTTATCTCTGGTATAAAAGTTTAAAAAATTAAATATAACTATAGCTATAGTGAGCCTTAACAAATCATGCCTTAACAAATTTAAGAAGATTAAAATGATATCTAGTATCTTTTCCAACCACAATAGTATAAAACTAGAAATCAATAACAGGAGGAAAACTGAAAAATTCACAAAATACATGGAAATTAAACAACACACTCCTGAACAACCAATGAGTTCAAGAAGAAATCAAAAGGGAAATGAGAAAGTATCTTGAGACAAATGAAAATGAAAACACAACATACCAAAATGTATGGGATGCAGCAAAAGTAGTTCTAAGAGGGAAGTTTATAGTGATAAATGACTACATCAAAAAAAAGAGAAAGATCTCAAATAAACAACTTAACTTTACACCTCAAGGCATTAGAAAAAGAAGTACAAACTAAGCCCAAAATTAGCTGAAGGGAAGAAATAATAGATTAGAGCAGAAATAAATGAAATAGAGACTAGAAAGACAACAGAAAAAAATCAATGAAACTGAGTTGGTTTTTTGAAAAGATAACAAAATTAACAAAACTTTAGCTAGACTAACTGAAAAAAAAGAGAGGGGACTCAAACAAAATTAGAAATGAAAGATGAGACATTACAACTAATACTGCAGAAATACAAAGGATCACAAGAGGCTACTATGAACAATTATGACAAGAAATTGGATAACCTTGAAGAGATGGATAAATTCCCAGAAACATACAACTTACCAAGACTGAATCAGGAAGATACTGAAAATCTGAATAGGCCAATAATGACTAAGGAGATTGATGCAGTAATCAAAAGCCTCCCAACAAAGAAAAGCTCAGGACCAGATGGCTTCAATAGTGAAGGCTACCAAACATTTAAAGAAGAATTAATGCCATCCTTCTGAAACTCTTCCAAAAAAAAATTGAAGAGGAGGAAACACTTCCAAACTCGTTTTATGAGGCCAACATTACCCTGAAACTAAAGCCAGATAAGGATACTACAAGAATGGAAAACTACAGGCCAATATCCCTGATGAATATAGATGTAAAAATTCTAAACAAAATATTAGCAAACCAAATTCAACAGCACATTAAAATGATCATACACTATGGGATATATTCCTGGGATACAAGGATGGTTCAACATACACAAATCGATAAATGTGATATACCACATTAGTAGAATAAAGGATAAAAATCATGATTCTCTCAATAGACACAGAAAAAGTGTTTGACAAAATTCAACATCCTATCATGATAATAGCTCTCAAATTAGGTATAGAAGGAACATACCTCAATGGCTATGTATGACAAACCCACAGCTAACATCATACTCAACAATGAAAAGCTGAAAGCTTTTCTTCTCAGATTAGGAACAAGACGAGGGTGCCCAATCTCACTGCTCTCATTCAGCATAGTACTGGAAGTCCTAGCTAGAGCAATTAGGCAAGAAAAAGAAATAAAAGTCATTCAAATTGGACAGGAAGAAGTAAAATTGTCTCTTTTTGCAAATGACATGATCTTATATATAGAAAATCCTAAAGACGCCACCAAAAAACTGTTAGAAATAATCCATGAATTCAGTAAAGTTATGGAATACAAAATCGACATACAGAAATCAGTTGCATTTCTATACACTAACAACAAAATATCTGAAAGAGAAAATAAGAAAACAATATCATTTACAATAGCATCATAAATTTAACCAAGGAGATGAAAGATCTGTATACTGAGAACTATAAGACATTGGTGAAAGAAATTAAAAAAGACACAAATAAATGAAAAGATATCTTGTGTTTGTGGACTGGAAGAATTAATATTGTTAAAATGTTTATACTACCCCAAATCATCTATAGATTTAATGTGACCTCTATCAAAATTCCAATGACATTTTTCACAAAAATAGAAGAAACTATTCTAAAGTTTGTGTAAAACCACAAAAGACCCTTAATAGTCAAAGCAATATTGAGAAAGAAGAACAAAGCTGGAGACATCACACTTGCTGATTTGAAACTATATTACAAAGCTATGGTAGTCAAAACAGCATGATACTGGCATAAAAACAGACACATAGACCAATTGAATAGAATAGAAGGCTCAGAAATAAAACCATGCATATACAGTCAATTAATATTTGACAAGGGAGCCAAGAATACTTGATGGGGTAAAGATAGCCTTTGCAGCACATGAAATGGGAGAAAATATTTGCAAACCATATATCAGATAAGGAGTTAATATCCAAAATACGTAAGGGATACATACAACTTCATAGCAAAAAAAAAAAAAAAAAAAAAAAAAAAAAATCCAAATAATTTGATTGAAAAATGGGCAGAGGACCTGAATAGACATTTTTGCAAAGAAGGTATACAAATGGCCAACAGATACATGAAAGGTGCTCAATATCACTGATCATCAGGGAAATGCACATCAAAACCATAATGAGATATCACCTCACACCTGTTAGAATGACTATTCTCAAAAAGACAGTAGAGAATAGGTGTTGGTGAGGATGTGGAGAAAAGGGAACCCTTGTGCACTGTTGGTGGGAATGTAATAATGATGCAGCCATTATTGATTGCAATAATGTAATCGATGCAGCCACTATGGGAAACAGTATGGAAGTTCCTAAAAAATTAAAAATAGAACTATCATAAGATCCAGCAATCCCACTTCTGGGTATACATCCAAAGAAAATGAAATCACTATCTCGAAGAGATATCTGTACACCTATGTTTATTGCAGCAGTATTCACAATAGCCAAGACAAAAAGCCTAAGTGTTCATCAACAAATGAATGGATAAAGAAAATGTGGCATATATATGTAAATGAAGAATGCGGTATATATGGGAGATATATATATATGTATATTCCACATATTTCTTATCGAATATATATATATCCTATATATATATTCCATAAAACATATATATTCCATAACACATGTATACTCATATATTCCATAAAATATATATTCCATAAATATCATGTATATATATATGACAGATATATATGTGTGTATTCCATAAGAAGGAAGGAAAGCTTGCCATTTGTGACAACATGGATGGACCTTGAGGGCTAAGTGAAATGTCAGACAGAGAAAGACAAATACTGTATAATCTCACTTATATGTAGAATCTCAAATAAAGCCAAACTCATAGAAACAGAGAGTAGAATGGTGGTGGTTAGGGGTTAGGGGGTAGGGAAAATTAGGAGGTGTTGGTCAAAGGGTACAAACTTCCGGTTGTCGGATGAATAAGTTCTGGGGATCTAGTGTACAGCATGGTGACTATGATTAACAATACTGTGTTATATGCTTCAAAATTGCTAAGAGTAAATCTTAAGCATTCATCATGCACAAAAAAAATTGTAATTATGTGAGCTGAGGGATGTGTTAGCTAACCTATTGTGGTAATTGTTTCACAATATATACATAAATCATCACGTACACCTTAAGCATATACAACGTTGTATGTCAGTTTTATCTCAATAAAGCTGGGGAAAAAAAGAAAAAAATGGAAAAAAACATACAGAGACTTACTTTTCATGGTCAAGATCAGTTTTTCTCCAATTTATTTCTCTTTATAGTTTAGTTGAGAAGGGAGTCAACATAGAAGCTACTAGTTCTTCCTTTCTTGGACCTGAAATCTGGAGGGTGGACGGTCAACAAGCGTTGACTCACTTGTTTTCCAGAGCTCACAGGAAAGTGTCAAACAAAGTGAGATGCTCATTAAATACACTTTTTTTTCTTAAACTATAGTGTACATAAAACTATCAGGCCAATAAATTCCTTTGCCTCCTTATAAATCTGTCTAAATCTCTTTTCTTTTAAATTTTCATGTTATTTTGCACATTATGGTCAAAGCAGAGAAAAATCATATTCTCTTGGCTGTTTGTGTTTTACATTATGATAAAAAAGTGAAATAAAACAAAACTCTCACCATATAGACTCCAACTTAATTAAAGGGTTATCCAAATGCTATTATTTTGAAAATTCAGTCAGCCTCATGTTAATGAAGCTTTCTGGATCATTCATTTTCAGGCATAGAGCGTAACATTTCTTATTGAGGAAGCTCACTCAAAGGACCTGGAGTATCCAAATCAGTGTGTGAATCATACAGAACTATTAACAATGATAGGATTGGGCCAAAGGGCACAGTGAATAGAAGCTATGACAACCAGAATTTGTCTGAGATTCATTTGTATTTGGCTGCAGATGACTAAGTAAGACCAAAAATAGCTGTGTCATGTGATGTATGATATGATTGTGAGGCATTAATTGAGAAATTCTAAGTGGATGATTTCTAGAGCCTACTGGAGAAGGACCAGTTGTTTCTGAGTGTCACATCAATTCTAACTATTGCAAAGAAAGATATGAAAAATTAAAATAAAAAGCTTAGGGGACAGTCATCTTTCAAGCATCTGACTCGTTCTTCGATGACAGCCAGGGGCTCATGTGCTCGATGATGAAGTCTTATCCAAGATTTACCTAAGGAGGGCAAGAAGGGAAAGGCTTGGAAAGGATAACCTCTCTGGGATGCTGCCGTTCCCCTGCTTCCACACCGCAGCTAGACTTGGTTAGTGGTAAGTGATAAAATCAAATGGCTGGAGGGTTTTTGCTTTCAGTTTAGGCGTTAGCACTGTTCTGGCAGAGGGGAGAGTATGAATTGGCCTGCTGCAGCCTTCAGCATTTTGCCCTTTGTACTCCTGTGATTTAGAGGGGCCCCTAAATTAAAAAAATAAAATCTGTTTTTCTGTCTTTGCTGAAAGGAAGGTCTGGCAAAGCATCTGGTAATATTCAATCTATACTTTTCTAGGGTTGATGAAGGATCTGCTGGGTCTTTTTAGAGGCTTTTAAGTCATTAGCTCTTACTCAGCTGTTTCTATTATTGCTATTTTTTCATTAAGCAGGAGAATAAATAATTTATTAAGAAAGACAAAAATTCAGTGAAGGTGAATTTATGCTAAGTTGGTCCATGCCCCATGCATTTATTGTCTACCAGCATAAACAGAACAAAAATATTTGTGAGCTTCTATGGTCATCTAGTTTTTGCTAGAAAATATGTATTTTGTTTTTCTTTGAAGGTCTATGATAAATAATGTTCATTTGTCCTAGGAATTAATTTTTAAAACATTAATTCATGTCAGAATGAGTCATACTTTAACAGACACCCACCTTCAATTTAGATGGCTAGTTGGGCAGAAATGCTTGACAATGTTTAATGAACTTGAGGCATTTTAAGGAAAACCATCGTAAAATATTTGAAATACGTAGATTCTACCTTGCTGAAATTGTTCCTTTGAAAATCAGACATAGGACGAGATCTTTAATTGTTCTTTCTGTAATAAAGAACATTCAGAGCGAGGATGTCTGATCACATCAGATTTGGGGATATTATGAGCCTTTGCCATTTCCCGTTAGTTATTTTTTAATATGACATCAGAATCTTCTAATGAAAATCCTTTTTGCATGTTTGGGAAGTTAGTGTGAGTAGGAAATAATGCTTGAGAAAATCCTGGTCTTTATGAGAATTCATCGCCTGTAAAACGCCTGCTGTTTATGAAAGAATGGCAGTATGGGTAGTTCTTTGAAGTATCCTCGTGTTACAGCATGAACAGCAGAAACAAATGTAATATTAGTTGAAAGATTTGGCTTAAGTTCCTTATTTGGCATTTCAGTCTGATTCTGTTGTCTTCAGAAATAAAAGTTATTCACTCCGGAATATATCTACTCGTGGGACAAATAATAAAAGAAGTTTACCTTCAACTCATCGCTTAATCACCTGTGGCTTTCATCCTGAGAGCAGATTCAGTTCATAGGAAGCAGTTCTTTCTTAAAGGGATTACTTGAGTGAAATGAATACAACCTTATTATTGAACTGAGTCACAGTAAGCACTTTGTCTTAAAAAATACAGTGTTTTAGAAGATAGGTAGGCACAAAAGTTAGCATTTTAACTGAGTGCCCCACCCAGTCTTGTGACATTCTCCACCAAAAAACAAAAAATAATCATTTTCATAGTCAAATGAATTTGGGAACTAATGCATCTTATATTCCTATTCCTATTTGGAGATGCTCAATGTACCTGAGTGTTAAAGCCCTATCCTGCAATTAAGAAACTCTTTCCTTCTCTAATCTGGATATTTTTCAGTGTTAGGTTTGCACACAAATAGTTAAGAGTCTAGTAGTTCTGAGGTTTAAGGCAAACAGCAGTACCGGGCCCTCTTTTCCATTTCCCATTCTCCAGAGATGACCACTTTCCATCTTTTAGCTGATTCTTTTGGTGACTACCTCTACCTTGAAACAATAGAATGGTCTGGCTACTTCCTGAGTACTTTTTCTCTTATCTTTATCTATTGACTTCTCACCCTGAAAGATGAGAATTAATTTAGCTTGTTCCCCTGCCTCATTTCTTTCTCTCTCAGGCGTGCACATATACACAATTCCCTCCCCCCGATTCTTCCTGTAAAGTTATGTTGTGATTTGGATTATATCAACATTTAGACTTTATATTATTAATAATATGTAAATGCAAATTTTAGCTAAGCCACATAGAATAATATGATTCCTGTTCTATTTTAGTACAACTTTTTATTTTTTCTGCAGTTCATAATTATTATTTGCTTAGTTTTTTATGCGTTTATCTTTAATTCAACCCCCAATTCTCTATCAATTGAGTATGCCAACAAAAATAATCCATAACCAATCTATAAATGAAAATTTGGGAGAGTTTATTCTGAGCTAAAATGTGAGGACCATGGCCCCGGGCCTTTCTTCCCGAAGGAAGAAAGGGCACCAAAGAAGTGGGGTGTACAGAGTGGCTATATACCCCCAAACAGGATGTTTCACATATGATTGAAGCGTCCCTCCCACAACAGTCACAAGATTGCCCTGTCGGCACAGCGCTTGATGGACACAGCAGGTAGTGGGTCTGCTATCTCAGAGGGCGTAGCAGGAGGCAAGTCTATTGTCTCGAGCTGGGTGGTCACAGGTGAGCACAGCAATCAGTTCCTAGCCTAAGGAAAGATGCTTAATCCTTAAGGAAATGCCAAAGTTGGGAGGGGGAGGGAAGTTGCACCTTTATCTCAAGGGCCTTCGTTTTTGCCATAGGGAATCTCTAAAGCAGATATACAATGCATGCTCAACGGCCACGGTCGGTCGGTCGGGTCAGGCCCTTTTGGAAAGACAAGGTCAGGCCAAATTAGGTTCACACCAAATGGCTTCCTCATATACTCCAATATATCCTATTACTTTCCATTTTTATTTGTCAAGTAAATCTCTTCTGGGTATGTTCATTCACACCAGATTTTCTCCCAGTGTCGTCTGTTTGAAGCCGTCTTTCTGAGAGCCTTCTGGCCTGTTCCAATCTGGACTGGAAGACTTCCTCGCCTGGTACACACCTGCCATCCTGAGATTTCCTTTGCCTATCACCCTGGAGGGCTAGGTCTCCTGTTTTCTCCTGATTTCCTCTTTCTTGGTTTACTCTTTTATTTTTTGGTAGGGTATCTAGAGAGACTCTGGTATCTCTTGAGAAAAGTGTGTGGAAGGTTGTTTTCTTGGTGAACTTAAACATCTGAAAATATCTTTATTTTATCCTTACATTTGCTTGTTTAACAATTATATTACTCTTGGTATACTATTCTATGCTATAATTCATTTTCTTCTTAAGGAAAACAATTGTCTTCTTGCTTCCAATGTTGCTGGTTTGGAAAAACACAGTCCTGTGTGTCTCCTCTACTCCCAATACTCTGCTTCCCTTCTGGCACATCTCATCACCAAATGTGTGGTGCTTTTTCCCATGCCAAGCAATTCTGTGATACCAGCTGGGCGTCCTATAATTGAACTCAATTCTGACACAATGTACCTGAAGATAGTGTCAGATCTCATAGGTTCAGGTTCAGTCTTACAACACTGTCCCTCTTCCCCCACCACTTCAGATGCCAATTCCAAGTCCAAGTTGTTACCTGTGCATCTAACCCATTGGCTATAAATTGACCCTCTCCTCTAGAGAGTCAGTTTGATTAGTTTGATTGGTTTGCTAGAGCCACTCACAGCATGCAGGAAAAGGGTTTACTTACTAGATTACCAGTTTATTACAAAGGATATTAAAGGATATGAATGAACAGCCAGATGAAGAGATACATAAGGTGAGGTCTGGGAGGGTCCCCAGCACAGAAGCTTCTGTTGCTGAGGAGTTTGGGGTGCATCACCCTCCCAGAATGTGGGTGCATTCTTCTTCGCCAATCCAGAGGCTGTCTGAGCCCCATCCTTTTGGATTTTTATGGAGGCTTTATTACATAGGCATGATTGATTAAATCACTGGCCATTAGTGATTGTTCAACCTCCAGCCCTTCTTTCTTCCCCGGAGGTTGAAGGGGGTGGGGCTGAAAGTTCCCACCCTCTAATCAAGGTTGGTTCCCCTGGCAACCAGCATCCATCCTAAAGGCTTTCCAAAAGTCACCTCATTAACGTAAACTCAGGTGTGGTTGAAAGGGGTTTGTTATGAATAACAAGACACTCCTTTTACCTTTCCAGCTCTGGAGCTATTTCAGGAACTGAAGATAAAACAAGACTATGACAAAAGACATTCCCACAGCTCTGGTGCTTAGAAAATTCCAGGAGTTTTAGGAGCTTTGTGCTAGAAATGGGGACAAAGACCAAATATATATTTCTTATTATAAATCACAATATTGTAGTTGCTGTTGAGAAATCCAAAGCAGTCTCATTTATGATTCTTTGTATATGCTGCTACCTCCAACCCAAAGCTCATTTTCCCTGGTAGTCTGAGACTGCAAATAAAGTGCCTTGGTGTGTCTATTTTCAAATACTAGGTGGGTCTTTTGAATCTAGAAACTCACGTCCTTCATTTTCTTAAAAGATTTCATTGATGATTTTTTCCTTTCTCTTTCCTTTTGCCTTCAGGAACTCCTGTTCTCCAGATGTTGGACCTCCTGGATTGGTTGCTATTTATCTTACGGTTCATCTCCTAATTTCTATTTATATATCTTTTTGCTTTACTTTCTGTGAGATTTCTTCACCTGTATTTTCAGCCACTGTATTGAAATTTCCCTTTTTGCTATTGATGCCAGCTTGGTGAGCCAAGGAATTGAAAGAAAGATTTCTTGGACTCTCAAGGTCTGGTAGTAGTGCTCCTTTATTCAGTGAATAGCATGGGGACAGGACCCATGGGCAGTAAGAGCTGCAAACATGGGTTGAGGGTAGGGCTAAATTTAAGACATAAATATGTGAGTTATCTCTTTACAAGACAAAGGAAAGATTATGTAAAAAAAGTCATTAAAATGGTATCAGTGTAGGTGGGATCTGGTTATTGGGTGGTCCTGTAACTTTAGATAAGAGTCAGATTGGATCAGGTCAGGATGTCCAATGCTTCCCAGAGGATGATATAGTGTATCATGATGGTATGTAGGGCAGGACGCCTTGGGCTTTGCTCCTTGGGGCAACCTTGATCCTCATCACTATCTTATTTTTATTTTTTCAAAGTTCTTTTTTGTTATCTAAATATTTCTTTTTAAAAATAACATTCTATGGTTGTCTCCTGGATACAATATCTTATATCTGACAATC